TCCTCCACTTCCCTCCTCCTCTTCCCCTCTACCTTCTTCCTTCTCCTTCTCCCCCTCCTCCTTTTCCCCCTTCTTCCTCCTCTCCTCCTCCACTCCTCCCCAATCCTTTTCCCTTCCACCTTCCCCCTTCTCCTCCTCCCCATCCTTCCTCCTCTCCTCCTCCCTATCCCTCCTCCTTCCCCTCCTCCTTCCCTCCTCCTCCTCTTCCCCTCCTCCTCCTCCCCATCCCTCCTCCTCTCCTCCTCTCACCGTGTGCCTGATGGACTTTAAGCTCAGCGTGAGGCCAGGCTGCCCTCCCAGAGGCAGCTTCTGCACGTTGGGGTTAAAGGTCATCGTGCCTGCCTTCTTTAAGAGATTCCTTTATCGCAGGGCTGGAGAGCGGCTTGGAGTTAAGGGTACTGGCAGGGGCTCTTGCAAAGGGCCCAGCTTGGCTCCCATCACCCACCGTGTACTTTGCACCCCCAGGAATCCCAGCGGCAGGAGATCCTCGGCTCTCCCTGCCTCCTCGAGCGCACACACGAGTTCTCACACGGAGGGTGTGACATATGCAAATAAACATAATGTTTTCCATCTTTACACATTTTTCTACTAGGCCTGGGCGGCACACCCATGGGGCGGCAGGTGAGTCTCTGAGTTCGAGGCCAGCCTGGTGCACAGAGTGAGCTCCAGGACAGCCAGGGCCACACACAGAGACCTTGTCTGGGAGGGAAATTAAGGAAATATATGTGTTAGCACATGTGTGGTGCTGGCAGAGACAGAGGACCTTGGATGCCCTGGAGCTGGAATAGCAGGCAGTGAGCCACTTACAGGGGGCTGAGAATAGAGCCTGGTCCTACCGGCCTCTGAGGGGCAGCAAGGGTGTGTGGCAGCAGCCAGTTCCCCCGCCCCTGCTGCCCACCTTTGGTTTCTGAAGGCCCATGGTTGTGTGTGCTGGCTGGCTGTGTGTTCGGGCTGTGTGTGCGGGCTGTGTGTGCTGGCTGTGTGTGCGAGGCTGCAGGGCCAGAGGACAGCTCACGGGAGCTGCCTCCTGCCCTTCGGACCCTGGTCAGCACACCTGGCCACGAGCTGGCCCGATCTTTACCTTTGTGTACAGCCGTGTGCACGCACCATGTGCGAGCAGAGGTCACAGCTCAGCTGCCGCCCCTGGGCTTCCCCAGACTCCACCTCTCACCTTACTTCAGGGTGCCGAGACTGTGCACTCGCCTGCCTCCCTCTGGGAGTGCGTGGACCCCAGGTTGGGGGCACGCCAGGTGGGTCCCCACCATGCTGGGCGGGCCGCCTCCCACCCGGCCTCCTCTGTCCTCTTTTGACTCTTGGCTTTGAGAGGGGCTCTCTGAGGTGTCCCCAGCCTCCTGAGCTCCCACACCGGAGGTTCGCACACCTTGCTCCCCCATTTCTTTCCTTTGCTTTCCTTCCTTCCTCCTTCCTTCCTTCCTTCCTTCCTTCCTTCCTTCCTTCCTTCCTCCTCCTTCCTTCCTCCTTCCTTCCTTCCTCCTTCCTTCCTCCTTCC